AGTCAAAGAGAATACATTCAGGAAGAGACTTGGTTCGGAAAATCTGAAACAAGAGGTGAAGCCCATGCCTATCAGAACATCATCTTAAAGGTGGCATCAGACTTCATACATGCTGATCATGTACAACTAAAAGGAGTGATGGTTTGACACAAAGGGGAACATGGTTGGCTTTGAAGTCTAACCATTTGATGGGGAAGCATGTCAACACAAAGACAAAGATAACCTGTGCTACAATGCATATTGACACAAAGGGGGAGATTGTTAGGAATTATTTTATTTTGTCCAATTGCATTAGTTATCCTTGTATTTGTGTATTTAATTTAGTTATTGGGCCTTGTATTTTTTTAGCTCATTTAATATTTATTATGTATTTCTTTATTCATATAGGAAAGTGGTATGTCACTTTCCTACAGGTCGGCTCACAATCCTTTGCACCGTACTGGGATATCAAACGTATATTCGTATGTATCCCAGACTAATTGAGTCGATCAGGAAGTTTGGCTAAGCATTCCATTGTGTCCATACATTCTTAGAGAGAAGGGAGAGTCGTTGATTTCAAATCCCATGTACGTTCATCGCCATATCAATGTGGGTATTGAATCCAAGCTTTAATCTTCTCTATTCTTGTTTTATGTATCTAATTGTTGGATAAAAAGGGACATTCAATCTTTTTAACTCATTCTCTCTATATTCTATACAATTAGATACCCCAGTATCCATCATCCATATTCCAAAAAAATAACCCAAAATGCTACTGGGTATTATATACAGCGTTTCTATGTCAGCGGTTCCATTTAAAGATGATAGAACATAACAACTATTTGTAAAACAACATTTTCAACTATTCAAAATGCTAAAAGGGATCAAACCACTATTTTTTTATTATTAAACATCATTTTTCAAACATCCGTCTAAATAATTTCACATTTAAAATTTGACACTTCAAAAACTTAAAAGCATGTGTATAATTATGTCTTTGAAGTTGTAACAGTGTCTAATCCACACTATCCGAACTCATAAGTGTATTTAAAAGTTTGTTTTGATTTAGATTTCTAATAGGTTTAAATATGGTTTTAATCCCTGCAAATATGGCACACTTTGTTTAAGGTCTCTGCAAAATATTTTCTTTGTTTTTCATCCTTGTAGTATGCACTATTTTGGTTTTAGTCCATCTCTAACTCCGAAACAACTCTACTTAGAATTTTTTATTGTCGGTTGCATAAAATTACTAGAAACATTTAAATTTATCAGTTTATAATTTTTTTGAGCCAAATGAGAGAGTTACAACAATATTAAAACTAAGTATTCGTATTTTAAATTTATGTATTAAAACCCTTTTAGAAAAGAAATTAAATACTTTTTGATTGGCATGACAAAGAATTAAAGGATATCTATTAGTCGGGATTGTTTCGTTGTCAAACGGAGGTTGTTATCATTAGTTATGAATTAAAAAGAAAACCAACATGAATTTCAGGGATGAAAAACATAGAAAATATTTTGCAGGGATCTAAAACAAAGTGTGTTATATTTACAGGGACTAAAAACATATTTCAAGCTTTCTAATATATTAAAGTATCACTACGCTAAACGGTCATCTCCCTGTATTAGGGTTTGGTATATTTCTGCCACCTTCAGCCATAGCTGAAGGATGGAGCGGCTTTGCATGTTATTCTGGTGTGTTTGCGGGCTAGAACAAAGTGGTTAACCGATTACTACTTTCGGTTCTGCGTGTCTACTATTAAAGGTGGTAGCGATGGCGACATGTTCGATGTGGAGTGCGGCCGTCCCCAACCGTAAATGGAAATCGGCGGTCTCAACCGGTAAGGGAGATTCTACCCAACATTTGATTGGTTACTTTTTGCAAAAAATCTGTTTTGGGTTTTGTTTCAATGATGGACGAGGCTCATGTACCAACGCAAGGGAAGGCCTGGCTTTGCTGTCCAGAAGGTCATCAAAGGAACGGGTGCAAAGTGGGTCTGGGAATTAGGCCCGCCTGGAAGTTTCAAGACTCGATTTGTTCAGTGGGTCTCTCTCGGCTAGGTGCTACCACACTGGTTCAGGGGGGCCTGTGTTGATGGATGGCGTCGGCTGTCATGGCGTGACGGTGTAGAATAGCGGAGGAGAACCAATCACAAAGATTGATCGGCGGAGCATATGGATGCTGGGGTTCTTTCTACGCAATGGAAAGTTGAGATCCAATTTGGGATGGAAAGATTTTTTCACTTTCAGAGGTGGTGCAGTTCATAATGAGGGTGCAAGACAAAATGAAGGCGGCTCGGGTGGGGGGGGGGAGGGGGGAGGGGGGGAGGGGGGAAGAAGAGAAGACGCACATGGGAAGTACAAGGGCAATGGGATTTCGAGGAGGATGGTACGGTTCCTGTCAAGGCAAAAAACAGGGAAAGGGCGGGCTGGTACGTCCACATGTGCACCGTGCACATTGTAACATTGTAGATGCTCTAAGATGACATTTCAATAAAAAATGACAATCTGCTTCCTTTGATGTTTGGGATGTTGTTTGATATATAGATGTTCGGTTATAATGTTTTTGAACGGAATCGCTGAAGAGAACCATTATTGCAAATGAGAGAGTTTTGAGTTATCATTTTGAAATATGTCATTTTCTATTAATTGCTATGATCAAACAGCTAAATTACAATACCTCTTCTACCAAATCGATAAACTCACTGTTGACAACCCCGCTAACATAATTTGATATCATCTAATCGCTAAATGTCAAACACGCCATTTACATGTAATTCTCTCTCTCTCTCTCTCTCTCTCTCTCTCTATATATATATATATATATATATATATATATATATATATCCTGTAGCTTTCCATATTTGAGTCATGAGAGACACATAGAACATATTTTTCTTTTATTGGCCATTTGATTGGAGTTATATTATTAATAGAGTTCATATAGTTGATTTAATGAATGATTGAACCAGTGTTATTTAGGATTAGGCTTCCTCAACTCTCTCCTTTGCCTCTATACATATCCATATTTCCTTTAATATCAACACAATATAATTAAGACATCTCTACATGTCAATAATTTCATAAGGAAATAGGTCAAAGGGGATAAAAGATACGTAGTATATTCTTAGAATTTTATTCATTCATCTATCATGGATCCAGATATTCCTAAATCTCGTTCTATACGTGTATAATTATGTATAATAATGTGATGTCAATCCTGGAACATAATCTTACCAGACAACTAAAAATGATCTATTTTTTATATTTTCAATTATGGTTAGTTTGTATTCTCTTGTTCTCAGTTTAATCTTTTGCCTTTGTTTGAACGTGAATTGTTCACAAAAAAACTGAGAATTACTATGTACTATCTTCCATTTGTAGTTACAATATGTTAATTTTACGTTACTGACATGTTCTCCTTTGACTATTTTAACCACATAAACTCAAAATCTGATGTTTATAATGTTTCTCGTAATAGAGAATAAGATATGTTGATGGTCAAATATATGTATTGAAAAATGTACAAAATGGTGTATTACAATTTACAACTACAAAAGAACGGAAGTAGTATGAATCACAAATTCAAAAAATATAAAAATAACTTGGGCGTAAGGTAACTTTGTGATGTCACTAATTACTATTGATATACTATCCTCCGTCTCTTTTTAATCGCAACATGTTTAATTTTACACTATTCACATATATTACTTTGACTACATTTTATATTATTATTTTATAAAAATTATTTTTTAAAAAAATATTGTTCAATTCATCTCATTACAAATTTTCAAAATCTAATTTTTAAATATTTTTACTAATAGAGATTAAGATATAATTACGGTCAAAGACGCCCGTTGGCAAGTGTGAAATGTTGACCGTTGCATCTAAAAAAGAACGAATGAAGTATTTTCTAACCGTGTTACGGATAGGGTTGTATACGAACCGAATCGAGTCGAATAGCAGGATTTTGTATTTGTATTTGTTTAACTTTTTCGAATACGAATTCGAATTCAAATATGAAACGAATATTAATTTCGATTTGTATTTGTATTTGTTTAACAATACGAATAGTTAACGAATCTTATACGAATATCAAATAGATTTGAGCATAGGTTAAATATTAGTCAAATATCACTTAAAATTAAATTTTCTTATATTAGTCATATATTTTTAATATGTGTTTTTAGAATTTAAATTCAATGGATCAATGCATTTTTAGATTGTGCACGATATATTAAAGTGAATCAATTTTATGATTAATAAATATAAATCTATTTTAAACTTTTTGAAATAAGCACTAACATATTAGAAATTCCACTTATAATGTGTGAAATAAGTTGATAATTGTATATATCAAAGTCAGACGACTCTAATTTTATTCTGCGAATTGAATACATAATTATTTGTATTGTATTTGAAAGACATTTGAACCAAAAATCTGATTTGTATTCGTATTTATACTCTGATTTATTACAAGTGGACTTAGAATCTGTATGCGTAAATGTATATATGAACTACACTTTAGGGTATTGCTATCTTTTAAAAGTTATTATAGTGCTATTACTATTATTATTAATATTATGATTATTAATATTATCACTATTATTAATCGAATATATTTGATTAATATTCGAATCGAATACATTGATATTCTTATTTGTATTTGATAACAAATCGAATCAAATTTAATATTCATATTTGTATTTGTATTTGAATTTTTCGAATTTGAACCGTCTTATACGAATTCAAATCACGAATCGAGCACAAATTATTTGATTCGTTTACAACACTAGTTACGGATTATAAAAGATTTTACAAATTTTATTTCTAATGAAAAATATTTAAAAATATTTTTCTCTCCTCACAAAAATATTAATTACCCCATTTTACTTTACTTTATTTCTGTATATTATTTTTACAGAAAGTCAATAATACTTTACCCTTGTATGGAGGGGAAAGTAAGTAGTGTAAGAGAATAAAAGTCAAAAAAATGCCTCGTGCCTGTTGTATAAATACAGCTTAAATCAATCTCCCTTTTCGCCATCACATTTTTTTCAAATAAATAAAGGTGGAGGAAGCATAGAAAGAAAAGCAAGACCAAAAAGGACAAGGAGACAATAATGGTTAAAGCAGGAGTCTTCTTCTTCTTCTTCATATTGGTGGCTGTAGTTTTCTTACAGCTGCTTTCCTCATCAATGGTGAGACCGATGCTGCAGCTTCATCCGTTAAGTTTCTTCCGGGATTCGACGGCCCTCTGCCGTTCCAACTTGAAACCGGGTCTGCTCTCTACCCATATCATCCTCTCTTTCCCAATTATCTGATTATTTATTTCCTCCTTATTCTTAAGTACTGTATATATGAAGCTTCTTCTTCACTGTTAGCGTTTAGTTGGGAGAAGGGGGTTAGGGGGTATGAAGCAGTTGGTAAAAAGATACTCTTTCCATCCCACTTATTAAATTGGTAAAGTAAGAATGACTTAAAATCACTCAAATTTTACCAAATTTGATAGGAGACACTTTTAGATGTTTTTACTTGGACTGTTTTCAATCTTTGACCAGACCGGACTTAAATAGACCAGATCAGACTTAAACAGACTAGACTTTAAATACACAAAGACCAGACATTTACCAGATTGGTTCACTTATATAGACCAGGTCAAACAAGACCTGCAAATTTCAGTCCAAGTAAAAACATCCTTAGTGGACAAACGATTTTGCCAATTTTACTTTTTCTATTATCTCAAAAGAAATCGTCACTTTCTCACTAAAGTAATTGAATCAATGATTCAATTAATTTTCCTTGATTCTGCACAAATTTCAATATACTTTTGTAGAATTGCCACTTTTTCACATAATTTTTATTTTATGTTAAACAATAATTTTAATACCCTAAACTTTTGGGATGTGTTAGGTAAGTGTCCATCTATCCCAACTTATATGGGGAGTATGTAACATATACTCGAACTTTACACGGTGTATTACAGTTACTTTAACACCATGACCATATTATTTTCTTCCAAAATGCAAATTTATGGTGTTAAATACGAAGTACATATTGAGTAAACTCTAAACAATATTTGTGAGTAAGGGTATGGGGTAAGCACAGAAATTCCCAAAAATATTGAACCAAAGACTGGACCTATATTATTTTGATCCTCGAACTGAACAGACCGTATTATTCCATGTTTGTCTGCACTGGACTGGTATTGGACCGAGTTTGATTTTTTAATTAAAAATGATTGCATTTATTTTAATAGTACTCCGTAGTATACTACGTGTGTTTTATTAACTTGTTGTCTGGTTTACTAAGAGATGCTTTAGAAACATACTCCGTAGTCTTAAAAAAAACATACTCCGTAGTCCGTATGATTCATTTATTAAAATAACGCAATAGTTGTATTTTAAAATGTGAATTATAACTTCCCAGAGCATTGCTCCCTTACTATCACTCCCACCCTCACCCTCACCCTCACCTTCACCCTCACTGATCACAGGAGTTGAGATATGTAGGTAGCTAACCGGTAGGCGTAGCTCAACTAGTAGAGAGCGAGTGCCACAAGGGTTAGGTCCTGGGTTTGAATCCCAGCTACTGCGATGAGAGGTTATTATGCTAATAATGCATAGGCCCTCTGCAAGTACCGGGGACGGAGCCCCACTCTCTATCTGCCAGATTGTGATTATAGTCCAATTTACATCCTCCCATCGTGCCGTCCGGTCGGTGCTGGGGGGGCCTCGGGGATGAGATGTCATCCTTTTTTAGATATGTAGGTAGCTAGTACGGGGATGTGGTAGGGGTAGACGTGGGGGTTGGGGTAGACTTAAGTAAGTGTTATGGGTGATGGTGTGAGGCTAAGGGTAGACTTAGGTAGGTGTTATGGGTGATTGGGTGGGAGTACTGTGCTCCGATGACTTTCATTATGACGTGGAATGAGTTACACAGAGATCAGATGTTTACTAGACCAGGCCAGACCAGTTCAGACCAGAGCGGACCAGATCAGACTTAAACAGACCAGACCAAATCAGCAAATTAGAGTCCAAGTAAAAACATCCTGTTAAAACATGGGAGCAGGGTGCTTCACTGCTCCCTAAGCAACACTATAAGGTACGTAGTATAAAAAGTGTACAAACAAACATTCATCTAAAAAATTATTTACGGAGTATATCTTTACAAGTTAAAGTGAAATCAACTACAAAGTAAAGATGTCTTAATTATTTTTTTAACCATGTGGTATTATAAATTATACTCCTTAATTTATTTTTCTCTTAAAGTTGTCGTTTTGAACAATTTTTGATCAGGTATATTGGTGTGGGAGAGTCTGAAGAGGTACAACTCTTCTACTATTTCGTCAAGTCAGAGTCTGATCCCAAATCCGATCCTCTCTTTCTTTGGCTCAACGGAGGGCCTGGTTGCTCAGCCCTTTCTGGCCTCATCTATGAGATCGGTAACCTCTTCATTTAACCAGTAGCTTGTCAATTATCACCGACCCAATCTTGCACAATACACATATCTACATACTCCCACCCCCTCCGTCCCCCAGTTAACTTCTCACTTTCCTTTTTGGGCACTCCCTAAATTAAGTTCACATTTCAATACTTTCCTTATTTGTCAAATTATCCACATCAAAATAGTGTCAAAGAGTGTCCAAACACTGTCAAACAGTATTTAAACAATGCAAAACAGTGCACTCCAAAGTAAAGTCAAATTTATTTTCTTAGTATGCGTGAAGTCAAACCAGGAACTTAATTGAGGGACGGATGGAGTATTACATTAAAAGTTTAAATATGATTTTAGTTCTCGCAAATATAACCTACTTTGTTTTAGATCCCTGCAAACTTTTTTTTTTCATCCCTGCGAACTATTTAGATGTCACATTTGAAAAAAAAACTTTGTTGTAGTGGTAAGTATATACTACCGTTGTATATATATATATAGGTCCCATTACATTTGAACCGTTGGAGTATAATGGAAGCCTTCCCACATTGATTTCACACCCATATTCCTGGACAAAGGTAAATGATCACTCCCTTGTTCTAACATCCGAATTACAATTATTGTGTTGTACAAAAATGATCGAGTACCATCGGCTTTTATTGTTATTTCTCAATCAGTCTCTGCCTATTATCTCACCATGTTTTACGTTTGATGAAACTATACTTTTTCGGGATGTTTTTAACCCGGCTATAATTTTCTATTCTTTGTTATTGATATTATCTTCTTAAATTTGGTTTGAACTGATATAATGTGGTTCAGTTAAGATTTGCTTATGTCATTATGTGTATTCTAATATAGCATTATAGCCTAAGTTAGTCATGACTTATTTAAATTTGATTTGGTTTAATTTAATCTGATCCCGTTCGGAGCTTAATTCCATACAATCAAAGACCCTCTTAGAAATGAACAATTACATCTTTATTATATTATTAAGGAAAAATTGAAAATAATAATCCCAACTATTGCTGGTCCGCTGAAAATAATCCCAACTATTGATTATTTTTGTATAATCCCAACTATATAGACTATCCGCCAATAATGGTCCATGACCATATATTACCTCTATAAAAAGTGAATTTTAAATAGAAATTAAGCGTAAAAACTAAAAGTTGAGATTATTTAGAGGGATTACTTGTTATATCTCACCCATCCACTTTAGAAACTACAAGAATTTATCCATAGGGACCATTATTGGCGGAAGGTCCCTAAAGTTGGGATTATTCTGTAATAATCAATAGTTGGGATTATTATGAGCGAACCGCCAATAGTTGGGATTATTATTATCAATTTTTCCTATTATTAATTAATACTTTGTCCCCGAGTGGCCAAGTATATATTTTTTTTGAAAGGGTGGCCAAGTGTATTAAATACTATTATTAGGACTAAAAGTATTTTTTATCACTCTATTTCTCAATTTGTTAAATTTTTGTCAGTTGTCCAATTAACGCAGAAATAATTGAAGAATATGTGATAATAAGAAGAATGAGAGGTGTTTGGAATTGATTCTGCTTATACTTCTTCTTTTTTAGAAAACAAATAACTTAATTATTATTGATAAAGATGACAAGAAACATAACAATCATAAAGCTCAAGGCTGCAATGAAATGAGACATAGAAACGGACAATTCAAATCGAAAACGCCGAAATCGCTAATCCTGCAAAGAAGTAGACTCTACCTGCAGATTGAATGCTCCTGCTACGATCACAATAATTATCAAAAGAACTGTTAAACATCCCGGTTTGTCCAGCCACCGGTAAGGAGTCAACTATAGAATTTGTTCCGGTTTCACCGGCCACTGGAAAGAAAGCAACCCAAATGATTTCATCTTTCTGAAAAGGCGGTGGTTCAGGAGGGGGGCGATCCGCTCGATATCGGCGTAGAAGAAAATCATGTTTTTGATTGATAAATAGATCAGTGCAAACCTCTTCTTAGCACACAAGAACGCCTGACCGAAAATGGCGGGGAATATGAATCTGGCAGACGATACTTTTTAGCTATCGAAAATAATATCTGGAAACAACGTTGGGAAAGAAACAGATGAATAAAACTGAAGACACACATTAAGAAGATATTTTTCCATTATTAGAATCAAAGAAGATTGAAAGAAGAAAAGAAAAAAGAGAAAAGGAGGAAGTGACGGCTAGGGTTTCCCCATGCCATCACTGCTCCTCTCTCTTACTTTGCTTATGCTTCTTTTTTAAAAACTGGTATCTCCGACTTCTCAAAAACTACTTCTAAGAATAATTTGAAGCGCTTGAAGTACATTTACACTTTCATTTAAATACTCAAATATTTGTTTTTGCTCTCTATATTAGATGATGGAGTTTTCAGATGCAAAGCACAAAGTGTCATCATTTGTGATACAACATGTGACAACCGTGTTGATACACGGACGATATCTGTTCCTTAAATTTATATTTAAAATATAAATTTACTAGATATTAAAATATACTCCTCAGTCCCTGAAAATACTTCTCATGTTAGTTTGTATCGGAGTTTAAGTAAGTCAAAATAAAATTGAAATGTATGATTGTGATTGAGTAAGAAAAATGTAAATAAATGTTAGTTACACAATACTTTCTAAATAGGAAAATTAAAAGAATTTTTGTGGCATCTCAAAAAGATAAATAAGAAGAATTTTCAAGGAGGGAAGAAATATATGAAATTCAAATTCGTATAATACAGAATTGATCCAACATATAAAGAATAAAATATATTGTAAGCCACAGGAATAATAAATGAAAAAGGCAAACAAAACTATTGCTCTTTTCTTCGGACTAGACTTTGTTTGTTACTCCGTCTTATTCATGTACGGAGTAATAAACATTACTACTTTTGTTTCTAATTTTGAGTATCACTCTATTATCAAATTCAAATTTAAGTCTTGCAATCCGATTATAAATATATAAATTCAAAATTTTAGGAATAATATACCCAATTTCACAGATAAATTCATTTTATTATCCCTCAATCGTAATTGGCAATGTCCAATCATAGAAATGGACTAGGGAGCATTATTAGGGAGTGTTTGCAATTGCTTCAACTTTAAAAAAGTGATTTTTTAAAGTGATTTTGGGAAAAGTGATTAATAGTAAAAGTTGGTAGTGTTTGAGAAAAAAGTGATTCTGGAAAAGTAAAAGTTAGTAATGTTTTGTAAAATAAGTACTTTTTGTGTAATAGAAAAAGTGAAAAGCAGTTTAAAGCAGCCTTCCACCTGCTTTCAACTTTTAGCTTTTAAGTGATTAATTTAAGCAGAAGCTGTCATTTGAAAACACTCTTTTTAGCTTTTTTTAAGCCAAAAGCTGAAAAACGCTTTTTTTAAGCAACCGCAAACACTGCTTTAGTTGTACATTCAATTTCCATTATTATTTTTGCTTAATTTGGTTGTACGTACGGAGTAGTAGTTTGGGTGGTGTACACCTTTTTGACGGTAGAACACGTTTGGTTTGTTTTGGTGGTAGGTGGCAAACATAGTTTTTCTGGACTTACCGGTGGGTACAGGATTCTCTTATGCAACCACGCAAGCTGCTCATCAGTCAAATCCTACTATGGCTTGCCACCACGCACATGAATTTCTTTTAAAGGTCTTATTACATACATGTGCCTTTAAATTTCTACTTTCCCCTCATATAAAAAAATAGAAATTATGAGTAAAGAATTATGCTGAGGATAGAAACATATAAGAATGAGTAAGGGAGTGTTTGCGATTGCTTGTGCTTTTTAAAAGTGATTTTTTAATAGATTATTGGAAAAGTGATTTGTAGTAAAAGTTGGTACTGTTTGGGAATATAAATGATTTTAATTAAAATGTAAAAGTTGGAGTGTTTGAAAAAAATGTGATTATGATGGAATAATTTTTTCAAAAGTACAAAATCACTCTTTAAACTTTCGGACATAGGGTAGGGTATACGAATAAAGTTGGGGGGGGGGTTAGGTGATTTATTTGCCATTATTATTAGTCATAAAGTTGGAGGTAATTACAAGTTTACCTAGAAGCTATTAGAAGTTGGTATGCTCTACCTTTTAGATTTTGACTTTAAAGCACTTTTTTAAGCAAAAGTTAGGATTACCAAACACTTTTTTGGCTTTTTTTAATCTAAAAACTCCAAAGCATTTTTTTAAGCAAAGGAAAACACTCCCTAAATGTGGTGAATCAATAATGTTTCGCTAAAAAGGAGAGAAGCTTGTTTTTGGAGACGAAAACGAAAGATTGAAAGATAATTTAGAGATGGAAGGAGTAATATTTATAAACAATTACGCTCTTGTGACATGTCAAACTTTGAAATATTTATGATGATAGCACGGCGTTTTTGCTTTAAAAATTCACATCATTTATCGATTTTATTAGATGGATGGTCACGATTAACTCTTAATTTCAAAAGTAATTTTTTTTTGTTCAAATGAGAATATGAGAATATGATCTAAGTGAAAAAATGAAAATGAATATGGAGCAATGAATTTGCAAATTGTGCATCATCTGAAATTGAAAAGTGCACAGACATGCATGGCAAAATGTTTTATGATGTTACTCCCTCTTGAGCCATTGTTAATAAAATAAAAAGTGGTTTATGTGGTTGATATTGAATTGATAAAGTAAGAATAAAATAAGAATGATTTAAAACCACACAAATTTTATCAAATAAAGTATGTGGCAATCTTAATGGAACGGACCGAAAAGGTAAAATGGAACAATCTTAGCGGGACGTAGTACGAAGTATGCATGATTTAGATCAGAAATGTTCAAATGCATGATCCATAATGTGCTCCGTTTCTCATCATTCTCATTTTTAACAGGAAGAACCATTTTCATGGCAATCAGACTCTACATCTATGTGTATATATTAATTGTTATGTGTATAACTGTATATTGCATTTTATGGAAATCAATATTTGTGCAGTGGCTAAATGATCATCAAGAGTTTATTTCTAATCCGTTCTATGTTACGGGTGACTCCTATTCAGGCCAACTTGTTCCTATTATCGGTCAACTCATCTCACAAGGAAAGTGTCAACTCTACATTCTCATTCATTAATTACTAGTATTTGTTTGTGATAACGATTATGATAGAGATTGGAGAATAAGTTTAGGAAATGTAAAATTATACGTCAGTCCTATAATACGACGTATTATACAAAGATTATATTTGGAAAAAAATTACACAGAATTTTTTATACAAAAATTTAGACATTTTGAAAATTTGGGCCGAGCTAGGGCCATAGTTGGCCCCAGGGGTGGAGCCTGGGCACTAGATCGGACTGGGCTGATACAAAGAATTCTTATAGAAAAAAATTTACATGATATTTTTACCTTAAAAATTAAACCATTTCGAAATTTGGGGTGGGCCAACGCCTAGGTTGACCCACGCCTAGCTCCATCCATGGTTGGTCCTCCCCTAGCTCCGCCCCTGGTTCGGGGTTTTATCATTTTTAGGAACTGTTAATTTAATAACAGTTCCCCAGTTTCTATAATTATTTTTTAAAGATACTATTTTGTCCCAATTTGCAAAATTTCTTATTTTAAGTGTCCTAAACATATTTTTTCGTTTTCCTATTACAAGAGCATCTCCATTCATGATCTCTAATAATAATCTTTTTCTATGATTCTTACCATTTAAATATTGTTATGTAATTAATTTTAAAACAATCTCAAAATTCGTTTATGTCTCTCAATCATCATCTTCAAATAATCTTCTTTGTCTCTGTCCTGCATTAATCTTTATTACATATACTTCTCAAATAAACTTAAAATAATCCGGATTCATATTTTGGTCCTAGATTATTGTAGCAAATAATTCCATTAAACAATGTATGTCACTCAATCATAATTTTCTAAAACAAATTGTCATGTCCAACTTAATCTCACAACAATCATACCAATGAGTATGCCGTAAGTATGAAAAAGTGAAGTGACAAATGGGCCTCTACTTTTACTCTCTTTCCATTTACTTAATAACTTAATTGTCTCTCTTGATAGAGAAAGGCAAAATAGTAAAATCATACTTAGGGAGTGTTTGCAACTGCTTAAAAAAAAACATTTCTCAGCTTTTGGCTTTACAAAGCACTTATTTACCAAACACTACCAATTTTTACTTTTTCTCGGCTTGTGTGTGAAAAGTGCTTTTCCCTTTTCTATTACACAAAAAGTACTTATTTTACCAAACACTACCAACTTTTACTTTTCAAAATCACTTTTTTCTCAAACACTATCAACTTTTACTACTAATCACTTTTTTCTTACATCTCCAAAAGTGCTTCTTTTAAGCAGAAGCAGTTGCAAACACTCCCTTAGTTCCATTAAACTTTTGCAAAAGAAGGAATATAAGACATGCCTTGTGTCGAAACATTTGGGGCGGGCCCAATGTGGTCTGTCTTTGAAATTGGACATGTCTGCCTCGCCTGCATAAACGATGGGCATGTCGGATATTAGTATTGACTCATAGTCCATAGTGCCCTGCCCCCGTCCAATATATAAATAAATAAATATGTACTACGTACTCGGTATTATATAATAAATCATAAATTGATTAATGTAAATCTAACTGTTTGCAAACACAACTAAAAAACACTTCTCAGCTTTTGACTTTAAAAAATTAAAAAATATGTTTTCAAATAACAATTTCTACTTAAATGAATTACTTAAAAGCTAAAAGTTAGAATTTTTTTTCTATTAAACAAAAAACACTTATTTTACGAAACACCACCAACTTTTATTTTTCAAAATCATTTTTTCTCAAACACTACCAACTTTTACTATTAATCACTTTTTTACCAAATCATTTAAAAAGGTTAAAAGCACTTCCCAGTTAGGTTTGCAAACAGAGCCTAAAATAAACACATATTCATAAATCCATTACAAGTATATACACATATATCTGAGTGTATACTACTCCGTATATCTTATAACATATTAATATTTGTTTTTAGGATTTTCAATTATAAATGTAAATAGATAAACTATTAAAGTCTACTAGTTCGTTTGTTTTTAATTTTTTACACTACATCATTTCAATTCGTGTCTTTAACTACATCATTTCAATTCGTGACTTTAACTTATTATACACTCCGTACTTTTCAAAATTATTTGGATAAAGGTACATTTATATTCAAGTTATATAACTACCTTTGATAATGCACACTGTATACCGAATCGAGTCAAATAGTAGGATTTTGTATTTGTATTTGTTTAATTTTTTCGAATACGAATTCGAATTCAAATATGAAACGAATATTAATTTCGATTTGTATTTGTATTTGTTTAACAATACGAATAGTTAACGAATCTTATACGAATATCGAATAGATTTGAGCATAGGTTAAATATTAGTCAAATATCACTTAAAATTAAATTTTCTTATATTTTTTATGTTGTAAATGTACGCTATGATTTAATATGTGTTTTTAGAATTTAAATTCAATGGATCAATGCATTTTTTAGATTGTGCACAATATACTAAAGTGAATCAATTTTATGATTAATAAATATAAATCTATTTCAAACTTTTTGAAATAAACACTAACACACATATTAGAAATTACACTTATAATGTGTGAAATAAGTTGATAATTGTATATATCAAAGTCAGACGACTCTAATTTTATTCTGCGAATCGAATACATAATTATTTGTATTGTATTTGAAAGACATTTGAACCAAAAATCCGATTTGTATTCGTATTTGTACTATGATTTATTACAAATGGACTTAGAATCTGTATGCGTAAATGTATATATGAACTACACTTTAGGGTATTGCTATCTTTTAAAAGTTATTATAGTGTTATTACTATTATTATTAATATTATTATTATTATTAATATTATCACTATTATTAATCGAATATATTTGATTAATATTCGAATCGAATACACTGATATTCTTATTTGTATTTGATAACAAATCGAATCAAATTTAATATTCATATTTGTATTTGTATTTGAATTTTCTGAATTCGAATCGCGAATTAGGCACAAATTATTTGATTCGTTTACAACCCTACCCGCGAATTTGCCTTGTACGGAGCGAGCGACGACCAACATCTAGTGACTCATGTGAGTCAGAGAGGCGGGTTGGTTGTAGTAAAGTCATGGGACATGTATGCGTTTTACGCTGCCCGCTCTGCCCCGATTAATACTTCATTAGTTGTTCAATGGCAAAAACTTATGACTTGTTCTGTTCATATTATTCTTATTATTTATTCTTATTTTATTCATACCACGTCAGAGAAAATTTTATTAAGAGCATCTCAAATGATTTATAAAAAAAGACAGAAGTTGTGTTCAAGTGATGAGTTGAGTTTGGCATATTCACAACGTAAAAAAATGTGCTTTATCCATATGATATTTAGAAATAATTACATATATATGACTCAAATAAATATTATGTATGAAATGTGACCTAGCTTCTAAGAATAGTGACTATATAGTAGCAACTTAAGGAGTGTTTGCAACTGCTTAAAAAAAAGCACTTCTCAGCTTTTGGCTTTAAAAAGCACTTATTTACCAAACACTACCAATTTTTACTTTTTCTCGGCTTGCGTGTGAAAAGTGCTTTTCCCTTTTCTATTACACAAAAAGCACTTATTTTACCAAACACTACCAACTTTTATTTTTCAAAATCACTTTTTTCTCAAACACTATCAACTTTTACTACCAATCACTTTTTCCTTACTTCTCCAAAAGTGCTTTTTTTTAAGCAGAAGCAGTTGCAAACACTCCCTTAGTCATAATAACTTATGTTCAACTTTTAGATTTACGTGTCTATGAGTAAAAACAAATGGCCCTAAGTAGGAGTAAAAACGTTAATGAATTCCGAAACAAGGCTTATAAATTTTATTTTCTAAATATTAGTAATTAATGTCATGTTTTGGTATATTCTTTAAACATGACAATGTTTTTCAATTTTGACGGTAATTACTTCTATTTATAAAACAAAACACAATACTTACAGTTTGAAATTTAAAAACATTTACCCTAATGTTAATCATGGAAACTTTTGTTAAAGAGATGTTATTGGATGTGCTCTCACTACTTCATCCTTTTGATAATGCAGGGAACGAAAATGGAATTAGTCCCCAAATCAATATGAAGGTTAGCAGTTCGACTGAATCTGTCTCTACATATTGCATTTCGTCTGAATCTATCTAAATTAAATAAATTTGGGCTGAAATATTGTTAAATCGGCTGAGTATGGTGAATTTCGAAAAAATATGGCGAAAATGATGTTGAGATTATTCTTGGTATTATAGAGAACCCTTGGTATTTAACATAAAATTCTAAGGCTGAGTCTTGGTTTAACATCCTTTTGATCAACACTTCTATCTTCCAACTTATAGAGAACCAACCACATATGGCGAAAATGATGTTGAGATTAAACGAGTTTTAGTTTGAATTCACCCCGAGAAGAAGAGCGGGGATTAGAGATGTGCAAGTAAAGTTGAGAGTATTAAATAAACATTAATTTGAATTCACTATAATTTATTCTTGTGGACGCCGTTATTAGTTCGAATTATTTATTGAATACTCTTAGTAGGGATTATTATTTTAAAACTATTATTTATTCTCATGAATTTCTGCCAATTTCAACAATGATTCAATAGAAGTCAAATATCAATGACATTTCAAATACTAATTGTGCGCCCTTACTCTTTTGGGTCAATCTCGATAGCTTAACTAAAATATAAAAAAAATGAATATAATTTCAATGAAACAAAATGAGTGAAGTTAATTAAGCCTAAATGGTATACGAAATTTGGTACAAAATATTATCTATTCGCTACTATGGCACGCATGATTGAAAATGAAAATTAAGGATAAAGTATTTGTCTCATGATATTAGAGTGAATTTCGGTTGTGGTTAGACTACTTGTTTAGAAACCATGATTTAGGGTAGTTTGTTAATGGTCTGTTTGGTCCATTTATACACTTCGATATTGTCTAGCCTGATTCGGGTTGAGGTGGCGTGTTAAAGTATTTGTCCAACACCGAAAAACTATAAAAATAATAAAACACCATATAAGACTTTGAACTATTCTTCTTATGAGATTGACCTTTTAGTATGGAGCCCTGAGCCTTAACATTTTTTGTGAGCAACACTTTTTTTTATATTATAGGTGTTCTTTCCTTTATAAATTGTACCGATTAAATTCTTATTTTGCTATATACTGAGTAGCATATATATAGCAAAGTATAATGAGTGTTCTTTCATTTTTAATGCAGGGCTATATACTTGGTAATCCATTAACGTTTCCGCTAGAAGCTAATTACAAGTTCCCATTCGCACATGGAATGGGGCTTATTTCTGACGAGCTTTTCGAGGCAAATGAGCTTTTATCTGATCTATGTACTATGAAAAAAATTACCACAGTGCCAAATACAATGACTGATGGGCTTACGTTTTATGTCTAAGCAGTCACTGAAGAAGAATTGCGAGGGAGAATCGTTTTTAAACATAAACCCAGAAAACGTGAAGTGTTACAACAATTATCAAACATTCAGGCTGGTAAACTAAACAAATTATTTTAAGGAATTGCTGTAGATGAAAATAAAAAAATGTGATATTTTTATTTCCTAAATACGAGTAATTACTGACATGTTTATTCTCTTAATATTTTCATTAAGTCATACATCGTTTTTACTTTGGGTGATTTCTTACGTAGTTGACTGACGAAGTAAATGAGAATCAGATCTTAGAGGCTCGATGCGAAGAAAGCAATTTGTTAATGCCCATCCAAAAGGAGTTTGGTCGATCAAGGTTACTCCTTGAGAAGTCTAAAAACATCATCGGTCTTGATGCACTTCCTTTTGTGAAATGTCGGGTATGTGTCACACTATATGTATTATATACATATTATGTATCAATATTATGTTCTTTATTAAGAGCATCTTCTGGAATAATGTGTACAATGCACATGAGGCACGAGAGTTGATGCAAAAAAACAAATCATTCACATTTCTCTCTTTCTTTTCATTGTTTTGTAGAATTTTGATAATTTTTTCACAATAATTGTTTTATTAACCACAATGTTTACATGTAGACATTTGGATTAAAATTGTGGAGAAAAAATTATCAAAAACATATAAATCTTTCAAATAAGAAAAGAAATATATTGCTCATTAATACTCCGTATTTATGTATCTCTCTCTCACGGCACATGTGTGTCATACACATTGTGACATTAGAGATACTCTAAGTTGATTTTCTTTGTTTTGGTGTTAACATTGGACCATTATCTTAACATTATATATCGATATCTATATTTTAAATTAATATCCAGGAATTATCCCAAATAGGAGTAAATCATACTAATAATTCTTAAGTAGTGGTGTATGTACCCAATATAGAACTCAATATTACTAATAATATACCCTTCTTTTATTAATATAACAATTTAAAACACTTAATTATTTTCCTAAATTAGCTCATGCTAGCAATCCACCCAATGGACTTCACCACCAACTTTAATATCTATACATAGAAGACCTTCATTAATGAATAATGAAGAGATGTTCTCCAATACTGTTCCTACTGAAAATGGTAAATTTCATACTACAAAGCCCACAAGGACAAACCAAGTAAAGTGTTTAATGTAGCGTGCACATATATTATAAATAAATACTATCTCTGTCCTAAATTAAAAGTATCGTTTTGTTTGGACCTGTGGAATATATAAGAAAATGAGATAAAAATAGGTAAAATATTCTTTGCTTTAAGTAATGTAGCAGTGAAAAAGTAAATAAAAATGTAATTACAAACTTGTAGATTTAAGTAAAAGGGATGGTAAATTATGACTGATAGGTATGATAGTCTGCCAAAAAGGAACATAACCTCTATTTTGGGACAATAGAAATATGTAACTATTATTTCGGGATGGATGGAGTAGATAACACGAGGATTAAAATATATTGATTAAATGTACTCAAATGCTTAAATTGTTGTTGAAATTGCTACATTATGAAAAACATTTAAAATATACGAGTATTTTATTAACTAAAAAAGAAAAAACTATACAAAAAGCCATAATAATTCTCTTAAGTAAATTTAAACATAAAAGTAACTGCATCTCTATTTATATGAAGCATTACATAATGTACCGCGTGAAATAAGAAAATTATTGTTTGAAAACAAAGTAGATTAATAAGACATAAACTTAAAAAGATTACCAAGTGTGCCCTTGTTATTATTGCTATTGTTGTTATTGTTGCACCTTAATCACATATTGTTGCAAAATTCAGTCAGATTGGTATGACTTGTCTAAGTATTGGGCTAATGACGAAAGCGTTAGAGATGCACTCCACGTAAGAAAGGTACGACTCTTGTCACCCTAAACCAATATCAATGTTCAAAAACAAGGACTTCACCTTCCTAAAGTGAGTGCTAAATTATCATTTGTTTATCGATCTATATGTCTATTGTAAATTTCCATAATGATGATAGTTTTTGTTTTATAATATAGATTGAGACCATGAAAGGAAAGTATTGATTAGCACTCTCTTCAGGAAAATCCAATTACTAGAACTCCTTACTAATGTTAACATTTTTCCTTTTATTTCATCTACTACTTAAGAAAATGGTTTGTACTTTGTATTTCTTATGGGTTGGTGAAATTAAGGGAAATATGGATAGTGATTAATGAATGGCCGCAGGGATCTCTTGAGAGGTGGAGTAGATGCAACAAAGAATTGGATTATGTATTCACAAGATATGACGTGATTCCATATCATCTAAACCTTAGCATTAAAGGCTATAGATCACTTGTTTACAGGTTTGAATAAAATATATTCTAGCTCATACCTCGACACCTTTACACAAAAAGAATTTTGTAGTTAATATTTTTTTTCTATCTTTTACAAAATATCAATCATACACTTTGTAGTTATAATTAAATTGTGATAGTTGACTATTTTTTCAATATTTTCATTCAGCGGAGATCATGACTTTGTCATAGCCTTCCTTTCAACACAAGCATGGATACGATCTCTAAACTATTCTATTATTGATGAGTGGCGACCATGGATGGTTGATGACCAAATTGCAGGGTAAGACAATAATACCTCCCTTTATTTGTCACTTTTTTTTCATTTAATAAAGAGAATATTACCTGAAATAGGATTAAAAAAGTTTGAAAATTCCAAAATAGAACTGCCATGTTTTTATTCCCAAAATAGGACTAATTACTGCCATGTTTTGGCAGTATCAGACTTCAAACATGACAGTATTTTCCAAACTTGGCAGTAATTACTTCTACTTTGGGAATAAAAAACATGACAGTCCTATTTTTGAAATTTTCAAACTGTTTTAGTTCTATTTCGGGAACTTTCCCTTTAATTAATTTGTGGTTCAGTTTATTTTTCTCCCTACACAAACTTGAATGATAACAATTTTTATTTCCTTATTTCACATGTCACTTAAACTTGTTACCTCAAATGAATCATAATTTTCACTATCCATTTTTCTGATTATTCACGCACAAACATGCACATATAATTAACTTCAGATCAGTGTAATTAATGAACTCTTGATTTATGATGTGTACACTAATTGTTGAATAATTAATATAATACAGGTACACAAGAAGTTATTCAAATAAAATGACATTTGCAACTGTGAAGGGAGGCGGCCATACTGCACCTGAGTATAAACCCAATGAGTGTTTGGCAATGTTGAGAAGATGGCTTTCTTATAGATTACTTTGATTGTTTTAAAAATGATGTATGGAAAAGTACAAAATCATGTAACATTTGGGACTCTACTGAATACAATAAAGTACGGCACTAAAGTTGTTGTGTGTCTTAAAATAAATTCAATACTTGCACTTATACGTAAGATAGTTTAGTAAGGATCGTATCCACAAGGAAAAGATCGAAATCTTTCTTACCATTAAATTGTAAAAAGGGGGATTTAGATTGTTGTTGAACATAGAAGTATTTAAACACTAAAATGAACGACTTATCTATTATAAATTAATAGAGATGGAGACTTGGTTTTGCTTATATCCACCTAGTGAAATGTTTGTCGATCCCAGTATTATTTTTAACTATCTTCCTCTTGAATACTCAGTCGTAGAGTATTTCCAATTCATTTAGGGTAGTTATTAATAACGAGGCACATTTATTAATAAAACTTATTATCAAGTCAATATAGAACACGCGCATGCATTAATTATCCAAGTTTACTCCTGTTGAAAGGACCAAGCGAATAACAAGTGTATTCAGCGAAGATCAATTCTAGTAATAATTAATATATGAAACAAAGCTAGTTGATCGTTTAAGTAATGCTCAAATATTAATATGATATTGATGGACTGTCTACCCGGGGGGTATCTTATCCGAAGGGTTATTGTGGGAATAACTTAGAGAGAAGTCAGAGCAAATAGGAGGAGAGAGAGTCAATTTATTAAATGAACTCGAGATGTGGAGTTGAGATGTAGATGATTTTTACAAGGGGAAATGGGCTGCTATTTATAGCAGCAATAAATGCGATGAGAGGACACGTGTCAGTAATCCAACGGCCGAAGGGTCACATCAACCGGTTGGCACCGGCAGTGGTACGTTTACCGCATTGAATGCGGGTGGCGGATGTGACGTGGCATTAAATGCGGTGGTTGGCTGTCTCCAAAAGGAATCTTCGATGATTGAGCGTGTCTGGCCGAAGGCTCCTTGTGTAGCCGAGGGCTCCTTGTGTAGCCGAGGGCTCCTTGTGGCCGAAGGCTTCTTTCAGCCGAAGGCCGAGGGCTTGACAGTGCCGAAGGCTCATGTTTTTCGCCGTTTTCTCCCAGTAGCTTCTTATGCCAGAGAAGGCTATTCTGTGAGTTTTGGAGCCTTCGGCCAGGGAGGCCGAAGGCACCGTAGTATGTATTTTGGGCTATTTCGAGGTTTGGGCCGTTACACTTGGGTCTGAGTTGTTCTCTGGGCTCAATGGACTTGTGTAGGAGAAGTAGGAGTCTATGGGCCGGGGGTTCCTGGGCCATATACTCCATCAGGAGTCCCTCATTCCTTTTGTCGAAAGGTACTTGAGGGAAAAGGAGTAGATGTGTTGATTCTTCTCGAGGCTTCATCATTTCGCTGGGTGCCTTTGCTGGAGAACTTGTCTTCTGCTGATTGCCGAAGGCTTCCCTCAGTCCCTCATATGTCGAGGGTTTTCTGAGGGAAGGTATCCATAACCTTCGCATGTTCGCCAGGGGGCTCCCCTCAGTCCCTCACATTTCGAGGGTTTTCTGGGGAAAGCATAGATGTATTGCCTGCATGTGTCGTGATGAGGGCTGCTTTATTTCCGTGAGTGTCTTGGGAAAATTTTTGATGTACTGCTGCTGCCGAAGGGTACATTGGAGTATGTACCCGAGGGGTTTCCCTTTGATGTTTTGCCCGGGGGCTATATGCGTCAATCGTGGATTTTCGCTTGAGGAAATTTTGTTCTGTGTGATTCCCGAGGGGTGTATCCTAGTCCCCCACTCCTTTAGGCCGAAGGGTGGTTCGGGCTGAAGGAGTTATGATGAGTTGATGAGCCCCCGAAGGGACAACAATGTGAACAAGCCGAAGGATCACGCTGCTGCGGGCTCGAAGGTGCTTGACGAAATTTGCTTGACAGAAGGCTGTGGTGAGCGATAGCCGGAGGCTATCGTTCGAGGGGCCTCCCAGTGCTGCCGAAATATAGTCGTTGTAATATAGCCGTTGGAGGAGGGTTCCACGTGGCGCTTCGTCGTTGGCAGATGGGGGGCGGGTGCCACCCATTGGTTGAACCGGCGGCCCGTAATGATGGCCTTTTCAAATCGAGGCCCGGTTCTCGAGGCTGAAAGCCTATATATACCCCAAGGCGGAGCTCAATTTCCTTGTGCGTTTCTATTGAAGCGAAGCTCTGCCCAAGTTTTTTCTAGAGAGAGAAACTCGATATCGATCAAACCCAACTTTCCGAGGTCAGTTCTTTCTCTGTTCTTGTTTCCCCTAGTATATTCTGCTTCTCTCCTTCTGGATCTTGTGTTAGAGCACTTTTAGGAACCCCATATCTTTCGAGCCCTTCGGATCCAGTCATCAAGGAATGTCGTCGGAGAGTGACTCCCAAAACATTTCGGGGGAGCCGTCGGTGGTGGCCGAGAGCGTCTCTGATGTAGCGTCCTCGAGTGAACAGCCGTCGGAGAACGATGATTTTGCTGTGGCCGAGGAGGTTCAGGACAGCCTCCGGATGGAGATGGAGGCAGAAGAATTCGAGCAGGTTGCCGAGGACGAGGAGATGGCCCTCGCTCTCCAAGTCGCTGAAGAGGAGGAAGAAAAGGAAAGACAGCGAGTCACCGTGGCTATCCTGCCCCTCCGTCACGATGCCGAAGCCGGATGTTCTAGGCCCCTCGACCCGGAACCTCTTAGGGTGGCACCGGGCAAGAAGAAGAAGAAGAAATCCATGGCATTCTCCAAACAGAAGAAGGTTGCTGCTGATGTGGGCCAACCCGTCGGCATTCCAGAGGGTCATTCTTATTTGAATACGGAGGCACTAGAGGTGAAGTCGAAGGCAACTGATGCCGAGCTCCAAGCGGCTCAGTTCTTGGTGGGGCCTTCGGCGCAAGTTATAGAGCCGGGGCCGGAAGATCTGCTATCACACCCTCCCGAAGGATGCTTCGCGGCTCATCTTCTGTCCTTAGAGTTAGGACTCCGTCTCCCGCTCCACCCTTTTCTTCTGGAGTATCTAGGGTTCGTGGGGCTGGCCCCATGTCAGTTAACCCCCAATAGCCACTCATACATCGCTGGCTTCCTTGCCCTTTGTCGGTCCCGGGGGGTGACACCGACGTTAGACCAATTCTTCCTCTCATTTAACTTGTGCCGAGGGGGTCACTCCCATGCTGGCGGGTACGCCAACTTGCAGCAGGTGCCGGAGTGGAGATTGTTCTCCGAAGTGCCTTCATCCCACAAAGATTGGAAAGAAAAGTTCTGTTACATTCAGACGGTGGGGGTTTCATTCCCAAGGCCTCTGCGTAATCACTTCCGGAGACACTTGAAGGTCAGGAACGCCTCCCTCGACAAGGCCGGCAAGAAACTCTCGGCCAAGCCCCCAGGATCTGAGAAACTGACTACCATTAAAGATGCCACTCTTCCGGACGAACTGTTTTTGTTGAACTTCCGGAGGTTCCGGTTGCCGGGGGAGACCAACGAGAATTACCCCCCGATAGATCGGGTTTATAGGAGTGTCGAAGGTGCTTGCTGAGGGGTCTTAATTTTTGTACTTAGTTTTTTTTTCTTTTTTTTTTGTTTGTGACCTAACCATCGTGTGCTCTCTTATCTATTTGCAGGCCACGACATGGACTCCAAAGCTCTTGCCAGATTGAAGAAGCAGCTGGCGAAGGAAGGAAAGAAGGAGGCCCCGGTCCAGCAGAGGCCTGTTGATGAATTTTTCCAGAAGTTCGGGACCGTCCAAGCTCCGGAAGTCCAAGAGCACCCGAAAGGAGCTGTTACTGATTCCGGCCATGATGCCGAGGGCTCCCATGCTTTGGAGCTGAAAAGAAAAAGAACCGGGAAGGGTTCTGCGCCTCCGGAACATAAGGAGAAGAAGAAGAGGGGGGCAGCTGAAGGGAAGGGGGCTCCCGTCGTTATCATCGATGACCATGCCTCCCCTGAGCCCCCGGTGCAGACGGCAACCACCGAGGAGGGGGCCTGGCCCCTCGAGACCGTGCAGTTCCCTGTCAAGAAGGGGACCGCCCTCATGCACGGCACTCTCGATCCGAGAGATTTCCTGAGGGGTGCCACTCCTCCGCTGGATAGAGCTGCTCTCAGCCGGTTCGGGGATGAAGCCCTCGACCTCAAAGCTCTCCAGGCCTCCGTGACCGTGAGTTTTCAAGAAAAACCCTTATGTCTGAGCGCTTCCTTTTTTTTTTTTATTCCTCCTTCGTATTCTGACGTTTGAGTGCTTCTTGTTTGTGTGTAGGCTAGCGTGGCCCTCGGGGAAATTGTCCGGAGGCAAGAGCAGATGCGTCTCCGGAAGGCGGAGGATGATGAGGCCCTTAGGGACCTCGTCGCAAAAAATGCCGAGGCCATCAGGAAGATGGCCGAGCTAGAGGAAACCCTTCGGCGAACCATCGAGGGTAAGGAGCAGGAGCTGAAGGCTGCTGAGGCCAAGGGAAAAGCTGCCGCTGAGGAGGCTGCCGCCGAGGCCGCCAAGGCAGCCGCCCTTAAGGCCGACGAAATCCGGAGGGAGGCGGTACTCCGTGCGGAAGAGGACGCGGTCTCCACTTTCATCGCCGAGGGATGGAAAGCCGAGGGACGGAGGCCATGGGTAGATTCCGTCGTCGAGGCTTCCGTCGATGCCTGGGTGAGGGGCCCCGGGGCCATGTGGCTGGCCCGGAAGGGCAAGGAGTATTACGACGGTGGCGAGTTCTTCACACAATGGCTCGTTTACCGGAGGCTGGCCAGGCACCACGGGGTGGACCCAAAGGACTTTGATCCCGCAGCTTACGGCTTGCCCCCCCTTCAGCCGGATACACGTGTTCCCCTCCCTCCAGGTGTCGAGAGGCCTGATCTTGAGGACTCCGAGCTGATGAAAGAGGCCGACGACGATGAAGAGGAAGAGGCTACCTCGAAGGCCGCCGGGGAGGATGCCGCCTCAAAGCTGAAAGAAGTTGAAGCTGAAAACGTTCAATCTTGAACTTTCTCTAAGTATCATTTTGTAATTGTTTGTAATCTCCGGCCCTGGCCGTGTATGTAAACAAACACCTGTTTTGTACCTTGAATGCCTTTTGTGGATCAATGATTGCCTTCGGGCTCTTTCTCAATGGATAGCCTTCTTTCTTTTTGAATTCGAATGTATGTTTTTTTTTTTGTGTTTGTGTATGAATGTATGTCTCTTCCTTTCTTCCATATGAATGCCTGCTTTCCCGGAGGCCCCTAGTTTGTGGACTTAGTAAAATTTTCTAAGTGCAACTCCTTGCTAGCCCCCGGTTGTAGTGTAAGATCGCCGGGGGGTCGTTGTTTGTAGACTTAGGATATTTTGTAAGTGAAAACTTTGTCATGAGCCCTCGGCCGTAGCGTAGGACCATCGGG